AAAATATTATCAGCATATTTATTTCTGCCTACCCTTCACATTTCAATCATCTTTAGTGCAGCCAAATGAGATTGTTAAGCAACTGACCAACAGTATCGTAAAAAAACATGTGTCATAATGTCAATAATGTTGCATGCACCAGACTATTTGAATTAAAGACGGGGCGGGACATCTCTAAACGGTTAACCAATCAGAGCAGCTCTGGTTTTAGACAGAGGGTGAAAAGAGGTGCTGCAGCACAGGCAGTATGAGAAAAAGAAAGAGCTTTCTGAGCATTAAAGCATGGAGACATGTCCCAGTAGAGACACTACATACTGATATGAACCTGAACATCAGCATGTGTCCTCTTAATACCGTCTCTTCACTTTAGCCTTGCAGTAGGAGCCCATTAACAGGATCTAATCTATTGATTCCAGAAGGAGCGTAATCTCAAGACAGAGACTATCATTATCTTCAATTTACTGCTACTAGCTTTTAACAATAACGTGTGTTTTCCTCAATATCATAAAAGCTTCTTGCAAATATGTACAAATATGGACTTTGCACTCTCAGTCACACACATGCATAATATTTTGTCCCACTTGAATACCCCCATATACCCCTGTGACTAATCTCATTTCCTCTTTACTTGAAAAGCAAACTCTCCTTTACAGCCTGTACTCTGTTTTGTAATCAGCTGTTTGCCCATTATCAATAATTCCACACTGTTGTTTAACCCTTCCTGCTGCTATATGACGGACAGCCGGCTTTACCACAGACTTTGGCCTGCCCTGCTCCACCTTCACTGTAGCAGTGACATGCAGCCCAGGGGTGGAGGCTGGAAAGACTGCATGCGTTTGTTTATTGTTCCATATAGGCAGGGCAGTGTCGGAGATCCATTGTGTGGTATCTCCCTGCCTTCGTCATGAATAGCAGCTTTCAGACGCTGAGGCGAGGGAAAGAGCTCACCATAGCTGTACGTTTTACTCCGGCAGCCTTTTGGCATGGGTCCAATTGCAACATACACACAGCTGCATAGTTTCTCCATCTCACACACTCTTATCTCAGTCACAAGTCTTTTTCTACAGCCCTCTGCCCCTCCATTCATTCCTGCCCTGCATCCATTTCCAGCAAACTCCACTCGGCTTGCACTGAGCTTTCTTTTGTGCAGTTTTTTTTTTACAACAATGCTGTTTATTTTCCGAGGGCAGAGCAGAGAGAAGCTGTGTCTCCTGCATGTCAGCCTCTGTGCGTCTGCAGTGACGTCTGAAGGGCATTATCTGCCAAAGGCCACTGTTTGTTTTGGGCTGCTCCGGGCTTGATAATGGCTCATTACTTGGGGACCACATAGGCACCGTAGTGGAAACTGATAATCTGGATGACGGCCAGCTGTCAGTTTAGTAACACGTTGCTACTGCAGGAGTCAGTTTTAGCTGAATCTGCTCCACTGTAGCCAGAAACAACAAAGACCTGTTCGCTATTTTTAGTGCTAATGATATCACTGGCTGCCCTTTGTGTCTTGTTTCTCTGCTGCTCCCAGACGTGTGTAAAGCCGGGAGTTATGTCCAAGTGTTCACACTTTTACATCACAGGCTCATTACCTCCGGACCCTCCCCTAGAAGGAATGCTAGGAGTTCTGTTGACGGTTGCATCGAAGAAAAGGACAAACATATTTGTCATTGTTGTCAGTTTCGTTCTTTCTGCGTGCCTGTTGCAGTTTCTCCTCGTCTTTTATTGAAACAATCTCTGGCATTATAGAAGTGTGAAGTGCACATTTAAACCTCACAATCTTCATTACATTAATCATTTGTTACTATTCTAGGGGGGGGGAGGAAAAACAGCATGGTATTGCAACATCAGTTATCAGTATATATCATGAAAAATGTCCACTTTTGCCTATCACGTACAATGTGTTGGAGAGCTAGCCAATAGAAGCGAGAGTGTTGTATAGTGATGTTTCTATGTTACTGAAGTTAACAAAGTAGTCACATGGAGGCGTTTCAGTGTGTGGGAGAGAAACTCCCTCTGGAGGTCGACACTAGGGATTTTAGTCTTTTGTCAGACCATTTGCATGCACACAAACCTATAGAACGTACTAAAGGAAAAGAAAAATACCAAAAAGACAGAATATGTTAAGTACTGTGAAATCATTCTGTTGTGAAAGCAAAAACAGCTAGAAGCCATACCAGAGCGAGGGATTAGTGGCGGGAAAATGCAGGCTGCATGGTTTCCTCTGTCAGGGGGTTAGAGAGGGAGGGGGGAGAGAGAGAGAAGGCTGTAGACTGCCAAGGCACAC